GCACTCCTAATAAGTACAAATTTTGTATCAGATAAAAGTGCAAGTCATAGTTAGAAACAAACGGATGCCAAAACTTAACCAGATACAAAATTTGTGTCCAATTCAGATTTGCACTACAAATAAACAAAGCCTAAGTTCTAACTTACTCTTCAACTAAGTATGAGGGGTTCGACTATGATATGGAAAAGATATGATATCTGAAAAACGTTTGACCAATCAATTGGAATAAACATGGTACCCAATCAGGTCTTACTTATCAAAATTCATGGGTGGGTTTTGATTGGTCAAACTCTTTCCATGCCAAGTCTTTCCCGTATCATAGATTTTCCGTTTTTTGAGACTTTAAACTTTCAAATTCTCAAAATTACAATTATTTCTTAATATAGTAAATCAACATTTACAACTATGCAAGGGAAAACCTACCTCCAACTACAATTGCGATCTTCTATACAATAATCACTTGTTAAGTAAAGAAAAAGGGAAAAAGTGAGAAATACTACTAGGGAGGGGGCATTATTGTTATTTCTTTTCTTGATATGCAATCTCATGAAGACTAGGTTAGGGGGCATTAAGAAGTGAGCACAGAGCAGGGTGCACATGAAGTCAAACTGACCTTACCATAGAGAATTTGCAGTTATGCAGATTCACCTCTGTATTTGGAGGGATGACAAGTGATCTACAAAAGATAGTTAATTAGGATTGAAATTTGGGTAGGCTTAGGTTAAGTATTTGTTAAAATTTGGGCAATGCTATGTCACATACCCAACTTGCACTCCTAGCTACTAGTAATTTGAAGCGTGCTATTTTTGAAACCAAAGGCTACGTTTGATTGCAGTGTAATTTTATTTGTACTAGCACAAATATTGCATGGAAGTGTAAATGAAAAAAAATGTAAATTCTTGTTTAATTTTGTTTTAGGTTGTACTTTATTCTGCCTTGTGTCTTAATTTACTTCATTTGCACTACAATTAAATAAAATAAGCTAAATTTTGAAACAAAAGTAAGTCAGAATTTCGTATCATGCAAATTTATTTGCATTGCTACCAAACACAGCCAAAAAATAATAAATTTATTTCTTATAACCTTTGACCCTTTTGGTTATTAATATTATAATAGTTGTCACATTGAGACTTTTTGTTGGCTAAAAGTTAGTTGAGACTAGGGAAGTTATATAAAACCTCCCCCGACAATGTGTACAAGTAGGAGTGCAATTTGGGCAGGCTCCAATAGGAAATTTTGTTAAAATTTGAATGGGTTCAGTCCGAATGCCCGAGGTTCTACAATCTAATATCTTTGCAAAGTAACATATCTGACCTACAAATAATTATTAAATGACAAAAATGACCTTGACCCACTTGACATGGTATAATGAAATCAAAGTCGTTGATCCATTTTTTGATGATCAGTTTATTCAAAGTTATACATTATAATGCATAAAAGAAAGCAATGAATCACATTGATTTATCTGTCCATTGATATCAAAATTTAAACATTGAATGAACCATGCCTTCTTGGCATATACTTATTGCAAAGATTTACATTGGTCAGAACCAACCATTTAGGGCACCAAGACCTAGCATTGATCTGCTGCCCTCATGCCCATAAATTTGTTAGATCAAATAGGTAGCNCCCCCCCCCCCATCTAGAGTTTGGTGGTGTCTAGTCATCTCCCAATCAGCCATTGCTCATGGATAGATATTTTGAGTATATTAAAAAATACATGCATGAAAGGTACATAATAGATGATGGAAAGAGTAATAAATTCTCATTTTCTTTTTCTCCATTTGACCAACTAACTGTTACTAGTATTAAAGATTTTTATGAGAAGTTTCTGACATTACCATTAAATTGAAGGAAGATTTTAGATAACTTTCTTGGTTAACTTATCCAGATTATATTATTTCTTAATACCCTTGATAGTGAAATAGATACAAGGAGAGATCTGAAGAATAAGAAATGTGAACTAGTACAGATCCAACCTTGCTGGATGGCTAGGGTTCCTTTCTGATCTATTTCAGTCCTTATCAATAGACATTACCCACTAATAAGAAAAAAGTAAACGATTAAAACAAATAGCCGGTTCTCCTCTGAAACTATAATCAGACCAGATGGTTGATCTGGAAAACTTGATCATCATCATCATTAAGCCTTTTTTCCAAACATATGGGGTGGGTTATATGAATCTCCTTTCACCATTCTGTTTTGTTTATTACCATGTCCTGATATCTATTGTCAAATTATATGAGCACTTAAATCAGGAGTGCTCAATTTGGCTGTCAATCAATGAGAGCCCGTTTGGGAAGGGCCATAGGCTTTTTGTATATTGATTGAGTGGCTTTCGAGAAGCTACCAAAACTGGCTTCACCAGAAAGTCAATTTTCTAGTGAAACTACAATATTTTTTTTTTGGTTTTTTGAAGTTTTCACCAAATGCAATTTCATGGGTGGATTCGAGCCGAGCCAAGCCGAATATTTGGCTATTCGAGTTGAGTTTGCTGAAATTGTTAGGCTTGAGCTCGAGCTCGAGCTCGAGCTCGATTCGATTCAAAGCTCGCAAATTCGAGTTCAACTGCAAAACAAGTTTTTTTTTCTAAAAAATATAAAGTATATATATAAAAATATATTTTTTTTATTTTACATACAAAAAATTAAAAGTTATAAAAACCATTTATTATTATACATATAAAAATATTTTTATTTTATATACAAAAAAAATAAGAATTATAAAAATTATTTACCATTATACATAAAAAATAAAATATTATTATATAATAAAAATTATTATTATATATATATTTATATATGTATATGTATGTATGTATGTATGTATGTAATAAAAAATTATTTATTTATTATATTAGCCTTGTGAGCCTCATGAGCCAAACTTCATTAGGCTCAAAGCTCGATTTAAACCGAACCAAGCCGAAATCAGATAACTCCTAAAAAATTCGGCTCATGGCCACCCTATTCATGGACCTCATGGCTTTCTGTCTGGGTTTATTTTACAACCTGAAAGCCATTATAAGAAAACGCTCCCAAACAAGTATTAAATTGAAGGGCTGTTCACTTCAAGCTCTTTGAAAGGCTTATCTGAAGTGTTCCAAAGCAGTTAAACCAGCTCAGCCCTCCAAACGGGTTTTGGAGTTTTTTTTTCCCTTTTCTCTTTTATTCTCATTTCTCAAGAACTGCAAATTTAGGCCTTTGGGACTTCTCACCAAACATTATTTATATCATTATATGCTGTTGAGGTGGGACCCATTATAAGCGTAGAGCCTAATATACCTTACTTGTCCCAATCAAATAGTTGAAATTTAATAGCTTTAGACTAGGGACAACCTCAGCTACCCATACAAACTCCTTCACGGCTCTTATCGTAATCAACGCAAAATTGAAGGGCTGACGGCAATTTGCATATGAGATTATTTTCACGACTCTTATCGTACGTAATCAACGGTCAAAAATAAAGGGCTGTCGTGGCAAATTGCGCGCAGATGAGATTATACTCTTATTATGGATGCTATTGCTAACAACTCTCCATGCGTCAATTTTGTACAAAAAGTAGCTTAATTGACGGGTCCAATCCCACGTCTTGCATTCTTTTAGGGCAATATAGAGTTATATGGTTTTGGGTTTTGAAAATGACATGAAAAGATAGAATGGTCCGATCATGTTGTCTCCCTGCTTTGGGATCTTAGTTGGATCATCATCGGGTTAAGCAGTAAACCCGAATCGATCCGATTTATCGGCTTCATTCGGGTTTCAAATCAGTTTTATGTTAAAAATGGCTGATGTCAAGCCAGATCTGTTAATATAGTAGAATTGAATAGTTCACTTTTGCCAGGACAGTGCCGTAATGCAGTGCTAAACCAAACAATCGAGGCCTTCGGTTGGGCCACATCTATTAAATCAAAGGCCTTGATTTTATTGTTTCAGCACAGCCCTAAGACAGTACTAGTTGAAGGCTAATATGATTTATGGTTTTGGTTTTGTAAACCAAACCAAATCATAAAATATAAATTGTAAATCCAAATTATATATATATATATATATAATAAGCTTTTATTTTATAATGCTAATATGAAAATGCATGTACATGAAAAAGTTAAAAAAGTATTTAAAAGGGTAAAGGTGTTATTTAGGCTTTCTAATTGAGTTAAGAATTAAGATCATAGTGTATTAAAAATCCTATCGAACTCTAATAAAAAAGTTTGTTCTGGTTCAGTTTTGTAGTCTAGTAATTTTTTTTGAGAAGATCTTCTGGTAGCTCTAACAATCAAAAGATGCATTGATCTTTTGTATGAAGATCTGAATAGCCCGAAGTTATTTCGGCAGATACATGTCTTTTTCTATATCTTTTCATGTTTTTCTGCATAAAAATAAAATTTGAAAGACACGAAAAACTTCATTTAGAGCATTTTGAAATTCCGATTTTTAGTGACTAAATTTTTCATAAACCAAACGAAACGGAAATAGATCGAAAATTCAATCTGCCCAACTTGTAAAATGATCAAATTCTCCGTAACTATACTGTCCATGGGTTGAATCAGCTTTGGGTTCAGGTCAGAAAAAATATCAAACCGACGCGTTGACAATCCCTACTGGGTCCTACTATTGAGATCATCCTCAGGTTTTGACCGTCAAATTGGATTCTACACAAACAATTAATTCAGTACTTCCTATTGGATAGATACAATAAGAGCTGTTAACAACAACCATGCTTAATTAATCAAATAATGGAATTAAGAAGAGGATAAATTTATTACATTTTTTAAATGGATAAAGTAATTAATCTTAATTAAGAAACTATTAAACACTCTAATCTTGTTTAACAGCCAGCGAAAAGCATTAAGTAATTAACTATCATGTCGTTCCTGTATTTACTTGGGCAACCAGTAATTCCCTCGTGCTTAACCGGCTTTTCCCGGTGACCTTTCTGACAAGGCTCCATAGGGTAATAGAGGAGCTCCCGGCGGAGATGCTTCTCCCCTTCTATATATGTCAGTGCCCGCAACCATGCTCCTTTTTTCTCTTCCTTTTCTTCTTTCTCTCATTGTCTCTCTCCTTCATCTATTCTCCGGCGAGTCCTCGCCGGAGTCCGACCGTTAAATTTTCCGGAGAGGTGACTCGTTTTCCCGCCATTTGAGCTCTCCAAGGTCGGCTCCTTCGTCCAGATCTCTCAACGTTCTCCTTTCCTTTTTGTCCTTCATTTTCGCTGAAGATCTGATTTTCTCGACAAATACTTCGTTGATTTGGTCGGAATGTTTGCCAAAATGCGGAAATTTCAGATTTTTTGCTTCTTTTTGGATTTTGTTTATTCATTGTCAATTGTCATTGAGGTGTAGGGTGTTATTCATTAATCCTTTCGGTGGATCTTGATCTGGAATTCATTAATTTTGTTTTGTTAGCTTGCCCTCTTCCATGTCTGTTTGGATTAGCCTTATTTAATCTGCATTTATTATCTCCTGGTTAGATAATGCGGTCTATCTTGTCAAATTCCGAGTCTCTCTCTGTCTGAAAATGTCTTCTTGAGAAAATCGAAACCTTTTTCTGTTTTGGCAATGGTGTTGATAAATTAGACAGTTATATATTCTGATTTTGATCTCTTGCTATTTTCGTTTGTTCTATTGACATTTGGGTTGTTTCAACTTTTAAGCAATTCGGTTTCTTTAGTTGGAGATCGTTCTGCGGATTATAAGTCTCTGTTGCATCGGAAGAGGAGAGACGAATGGATGGAGCTCGAGATACGGGTCTCAAGAATGTAGCTTCCACCTCCTCGCTTGCGGGGATGGACGACTTTGATTTATCAAAGCTTCTTGATAAACCGAGGCTGAACATCGAGCGACAAAGGTCCTTCGATGAGAGGTCTCTCAGCGAGTTATCGATTGGTTTCGCTGCCCGAGCAAGCGTGGAGAACTTAGAGGCCATGAACTCGCCGGGGGGAAGGTCCTACCTAGATACGCCGGCATCCTCTTCTCGCAATTCATTTGATCCTCATCCAATGGTTGCCGAAGCCTGGGATGCTCTGAGACGGTCGTTAGTGTACTTCCGGGGTCATCCTGTTGGGACTGTTGCCGCTCTCGACCATACGGAGGAAGCTTTGAACTATGATCAGGTTCCTGTGTAATCATTGTGCATTAAGGCAGCTTCTGTTTGAAGAAATTTGAATGTGATTTCATTGTCTTTAATCTCATGTGCAGGTTTTTGTGAGAGATTTTGTGCCCAGTGCTATGGCTTTTCTAATGAATGGCGAGCCTGAAATAGTCAAAAATTTTCTTTTGAAGACTCTCCATCTTCAAGGGTGGGAAAAGAGAATAGACAGATTCAAGCTAGGGGAAGGAGCAATGCCGGCTAGTTTTAAAGTGCTTCATGACCCTGCTCGGAAAACTGATACTTTAATAGCAGATTTTGGTGAGAGTGCAATTGGAAGAGTTGCCCCTGTTGACTCTGGGTTCTGGTGGATTATTTTGCTCCGTGCCTATACGAAGTCTACTGGTGATTTGTCTCTGGCAGAAACGCCCGAGTGTCAAAAGGGGATGAGACTTATACTGGCCCTGTGTCTGTCAGAAGGTTTTGACACGTTTCCTACACTGCTCTGTGCGGATGGCTGTTCAATGATTGATCGAAGAATGGTAAGATTGTTCTTGTATTCTGGCCTTGTTTTCTATTAGAATGACCTGCCATAAGCGGAGATTGGGCTTTCCTAATTATTTCATCTGATTGTTTTGCTTATCTTTTCTTCTGTCTCTTCCCTGTCCAAAATACAGGACAGTACATCTAGAAGATGCTTTCTTGATTGCTATTCTCCTAGACAATATGAAAACTTTCAAATCAATGCTTATTTCTAATTTTCATTGTGCATGGTAGAAGGCATGCTTTCTTGTTAGTTCACTGTTATACACCTAAATAAGGAAAGACTTTCTTTTATACAACTAAGTATGGACAGAGAAGAAATTAAAAAGTTCTGACATCACAAGGCATGCCTATTTGTGTCGCCATCCCACGAGATGCTAAAAGTGAGTAAGGATGTTGGAGTTGAAAATATGAAGTGGATTCATATGCTGGATCCTTTTAATTTAAATAAACAATAATATTTGGTAAAGAAATAGGTGTTTGCAAGAACACCTTAATCAAAGTACAAGATTCGATAAACCCTTGGGCCAATATTAGAAATCCTCTCATCATCATCATCCAAGCCTTGTCCCAACTATATGGAGTTGGCTACATGAATCCTGCTTTGACAATCCATTCTGTTTAATACCATATCCATTGTTAAATTATTGGCACTAAAATCATTTCTTACTACTTTTACCAATGTCCTATTTTGCTCTAACCCTAGCCCTTTAAGTGCCTTCAACTTGCAAAAAATCAATTCTTCTTAATTCTTAAGGGCTGTTGATAGTCTTCTATGCACGTGACCAAACCACTTTAGTCTACTTTCTCTCATTTTGTCACTCATTAGAGCTACTCCTAGGTTCCTTTGGAAGTTCGGATGACTTCATTTCTCATCCTATCCTTTCTAGTTTTTCCCACTTGTCCATCTCAGCATATGTATTTCTACCACACTCATTTTTTTTTGGTCATTTCTTGATTGTCCAACACTATACTCCATGCAGCATAATTGGCCAATACATCTGTTTCATGGAATTTTCCTTTTAATCTAAGTGGTATTTGCCTATCACATTAGAAATCCTCTCTAGGTCCTTTTTTCCTATAAAGTTGCTTCCGTTTCTTTTTATTCACTCTTCAGAAAATCATCTCTCTAGTTGTATGTTTCAGAGATTAAAAAACAAAGTTGACACAAGATGTACGGTTATTTTGCTACATGCATTTGATCAGTAAATGTTATAATTGGATGGAGTATATATTTCTAGAAAAACCTGGCTGTCTTTTTGGTTCTTCAGATTGATTTTCCTTATTCATTTTCAGAGTTGAAGGGAAATTAAACAGGAAGATATGAACATGTTTCTACTATACTATTAAAATATCATATTTTTTCACTAGGAAAAAATGCCCGAATGTTTTTGAATGTCCACATGTTCAATAAAAAATGCATCTATGTTATTTCTCTTCTTGGTGTCCATGGATGAATTTATTTATCCACAAGAAATAATGAAATTTAATATGAAAGAGCCATCCATTCTTTAACTCATTATGTCTTTGTTTAAAAATATACTTCTGTGTTTCTTTTCCTTTTCCTTTGTTTTTTGAGTGATAGTTGCTATTACAATCATTGTTCAGAAATGACATGTTAGCATTTCAGTTCAACCATTTTATTTTATTTTTTGATTGATAACAGTAAAGTTTTATAAAAATTGAATAAAAGAATAATAAATGTGCAAGATGTGCTAAACACCCTTTATATCTCTTAGGCCAGCTTCTGTTACCTAACCCCTTTTTGGCCATTGTTTAAGTTCGACTTTCTAGCCTGAAAGTAATGATGATTGAGATGTAATTAATTACAGTGAAAAATACTCATCCCCTAGAGACAGGGATGAATAGCAAATAAGAGCAGTGTACAGATGACCAGAAATTCATAAGATGAAAAATACTTTGTCATAATTCTATTCCTGGGCCTGAGCCTCCCATATAATCTAGGCATCTTTTATCACACTTTTTTAATCCTATGATTATGTCATTTTCCAGAAATTACATGCTAGCATTTGAGATAATTCTTACCTAATTAAGATTTAGTCATATTTTATCATATGATCATTTACAAGTTGAACTCAAGCTTGAAAACCTGAATTCAGTATTTTTACCTAATTTCCATGAATCTCCCATCTTCCTTTGCTTTTCCCTTGTAATTTTTCCCATGTCAAGTAGACACTACATTGGAGGTTCTTTGGAAATGTCTTGAAACATAACTGGATTGTCAAATCCATCTTATTTCAATGGTTGCCTAGGATGTAGTTATCAAAGGAGAGGGGAAATGGATGTGCCATCTCTAGCAGCTTTCCTGGTAGGTGTTTAATAGTAAGCTTGACCAGAACATGAGACCTCATGTTTGCAATGTAGTGCACCAGTAACTTGTTTCTTTCTGTGCCTAGGAAGGGAAAGATATTGGCATTTTATGAAGGAAGGGGAAACAGTAGTTATATTTTTTATGTAACTAAAATTTCTTCCAGAATTACGCTCTCTAGGGAATCTCTCTTGTTCCAGTTTGCTTGTAATTGACCACTTCCTAAGTTCCTTACAAATAGTCTATATGTTAAAACCTAATGAAAGGATTAGTTCTAAAGCTAAGCAATTCAAGACCAATGACCCAGGCAGTGATTGCAGAGGGAAATAAGCAGTTTAAGCAGGAAGTGGGGAATAAGCAATTTCTGTGATTGCAGAAGGAAAGGGAATATGATCTTGTTGAAAAGACAACCAATGACCCAGGCAGTGATTAGGAGCCCATTTAGTTTGAATTGTAGTTAATTGGCATGGTGATGGCAACACACCCACATTCTTGTCAAGAAAAACTATAGTCCATCCTAAGCACCAAAAGCTAAACTTAACAGTGATTGGGAGCCATATTTTCCTAAAAGTACAAAAGCATTAAGGTCACATCGAATAAATGCTTCATGTACATGGTCTAAGAGATGTCCTTTTGGATGTTTTCAAATCTAGCTTGTCAACATGCCTGCCAGAGCACCATCATTCTACTGCCACCATCTATAATAACTGCATATTATTTCTGAACTCTAGCATGGAAGATGTTGGTATGCTGTCAATCATCCTTTTCCTTTTCTATGGTAACTGCTAAGATTTGTTTTGTTTTTTTTTTGTTTTTGTTTTCTTTTGTTTTTTTTTGTTTTTTTTGTTTTTTTTTTTTTTTGCTTCAGAACTGCTAAGATTTGTTAAAAAAAATAAACAGTTAGTTAATAGTCCAACATGCAGAAACTGCAATTAACAGTAACAAATAATGGAGTTTGATCAAGGAAGTAGTTCTTTTCTTCCTCTTAAGTTCAATGGAGTTTTCCTTTTTTCAAGGAAATACTTCTGAAAGATGTTAACTTGCAAATACAAATAATGCAACTCAATTTCTAATATCCCTAGTTACTGGAAACTAACCTTTACAAGGTTGGTTCCAAAAGTGATATTGTATGGTCTATTGTTCTATGCACAGTTTTTTGGTGCATATAGGAGAGAAATAATTGTATATTTGAAGTAAAGGAAAAAGAATTCCCAAGCTGTTTGCTGGTTCTAGCAGTCTTCTTATGGATTGGACCTTATCTCTAAAAGATAGGATGAATTTTGTTTTTGAATGGTTGCCTGCTTTGGATGTAGGGAATGTATATTGTTAAGAAATATCAAATCATTTGTAAAGGGCCTTTTTATAGATCCTCACACTTTTTATTAATAGAAAATTTTGATTAAGTAGAAATATGGTAGGATGATTTGTTCTCTACATATCAATCTAAAGACTTGGGTCCCTTGGTATAAATTATATAAATTTGGGTTTTGTTGGCCTGGATCAATCTTAGTTCATTGTTCATAACTTGAGCATGCTTATCTCCATTATAATAGCTATCAAATCGGATTGTCATGGTTCCAAAGAAATCCTCAGATTTGGAGTTCTCAAAAGGTGACATCTTCCATCCTATTGCTTAATGCACAATAAGGCTATTAATTCTCTTGATTTGCAGGAGATAGGCATTTGGGATATCTCTGTTATCCTTCCGCATGCTATCCAAATAGTTYTATTCCTCTTTATAAGAGATTTTGAAATTTCAAGGTGGGACTTGGCACCCCCCCTCCTAGAAATGAYCTCTAAAAGGGATGAAGGAAAGATACACCCCCTATAT